AACTCACATAGGTGCCCAGTTTCTTAGATAGATGCGATGACCTGTTCTTCCGTATTCCTACTCCATAAGGAAGAGGATTTTCTGTAACACCTGGGAAGTGAAAAGTTTTAGCAAGCAGAGAACCACACCCATGAAGGGGAGAGGAAGGCAAGTCATCCACATTCTGGGCTCATCTGCATTGTTTGTTGCTCTCCTCAGGCAGTTCTCCAGACTTATCCTCATTCTTGCAGAGGTGCCAGGCGAATGAGGCAGGACCAAAGGTCTTTGTTCAGCCTTCTTTTATTTCTCTTTCCTCATCTTTGCTTCCTTCCTGGTTTCTACTGCCTCCTGATTTCTGTATGGTTGATTCTTCTATTAGAGAAAATCTCACTCCAGGACATCTCCAAGGCTCACAGCTAGCTCCCAATTTTCTGAATTTGGTCTAGAACCACAGATCCAAATCACACTACAGTTACAGAAGTTTGATGTACGACCCCAGGAGAGAACTGGAATTTTAACTGTTAAACTTTTTTAAAAATTATTTTTGATTTGAGGGTTATGTCCACCTTGCTCAGGGCAGACTTCTGTGCTGAGGGATCACTCCTGGATGGCGTGGGAGTTATATGTGGTGTCAGGGATGGAACCTGGTCTGGGCACATACAAGAGAAAGCACCTTCCCTGCTTTGTGCTATCTCTCTGGCCCTCTATTAGTCTTCCTAAAGAAGCGGGTCAAAACCCAAAGTGGTTATCAGTTGTTTGGCAAAAGCATTTTCAAGAAGATTTTTAAAGTGTTCATTATGAATAATGTAAGACTTTGTGATTAAAGCTTAATCAAATAATAGTATTTATTAAGTGGAGTTTCTAGCAACAGAAATGTTATTATGAAATAAAAACATAGTTAGGGAAGTTCAAACTTTTTTTTCTTGGTTTCTTGTGTTCTTGATTATGCCTAGAGTGTGCAAAACCCTGAGTTTGATCCCCAGAATCACATGGCTCCAAGTACCCCTGGCCTGCGCACAGTTGAACTCTGCTGGACTGACCCCTATTTTTTTAAAAAATCGAACAAAATGTTAGAACAGAATAATGTAAAATATTTGACTCACTCTATTTTGTCTCAAATCTTAGAAACATTTGTGAGCATATAAGGAAGGAGAATGTTAAGCTTCCATAAGCGTGATAGTTATGTATACTTCCTCTCTAGTACTTTTTACTTTATTGCTCATACTGTAGCAGGCAGTCAGTAGATAACAGCCTAATTACCCAGCCCTGCAGAGTAATTACCTAATTGCAAAGAAAGTGCTAATCGAAGGATATTCTATAAGCATAAAGACAAGAAGAAATGTTATTTTTTAGATATTTAATACTTTAATTCCACCTTCTCTGGGCCAAAATTTTAGGTTGCTATTATGAAGTTCTCATCACATCTCTTGTTTGACCCCATTTGTGTCATATACTAGCTAATAGGGCAAATAAGAATATCGAAGAAAAAAATCTTTAGTATAATTTCAATATTATTTTTTACGAAGATTCCCAAACTGCATTTGAAATCCTAATCAATGTCAGGCTAAGGCCTATTTTAATCCTACTACTTGGATGTCAGACTGTAGAACCCTAATTAAATTGATGAAAAGACTACAAAACAAAATTAAGGAGGCTAAGAAGACAGAGGATTAATGCAATTCATGGACTTTCTTGTTAGTAGTTGAGTTTTAGAAGTGACTCTTTTTCTGTCAGTTCACAAGTACACAGATCCTAGAGAGATTAAATGCTTTCATCCTTGCAGTCCCTCGGCTGGCTAGTGGATTAATACTTAAAATTAGAAGCTAGTAGCATTTTGGTGTTGTCAGGTATTTAAGTAAATCTTAAATCTGGGAGACACCGTTGATTTAATTTAAGACTTGTGAATTTAATCTCTGTTACTCCACACTCACAATATCTTGTGTTTTGCTTTATCATGGAGTAAATTATTTTCAAAGGTGACAAACCACTAGAAGCCACAATATGATTATTCCTCCTTTTTCATGGTTTCTTCAAGAAACACTCTTGATGCTCAGTATGAGCGCTTTAATCACACCATTTTCTTTTTCTTTTCTAACTTTAGCTCATAGAAATCCCACGAGATGGGGAACCCATTTTGAGAAACATGTCACATCAGCTTTTGAAATGTGGAAAGCTAAGCAATTAGTGTCAGATTTTCCCCTTGGTATTAAAAAAAAATAAGTTTTTAAAAAGTTACTACATACCCTGTAAGTAACTTTAGTAGTTTTTGTACTCATGATATGTTATAGAAATGGTAATTTAAACAAAGCAAGACTCCAGTGGGAAGGCTTTATGATAACTTTGAATCATCAGTAGTATATTGCACTGGGTTTTCATTTAGACTTAGAAAAAAATCATCATAAAAAATATTTTTCTCCTGTATTTGATGTATCCCAAAGCTTTTAAACTTATAAATCTTTGCAAATTTACTGGAATGAAGAGTTTCCTAAATGTACTATATTTAATGGAAAAATCAAATCAAATTCAGGTTTTGTCTCGAGGTATTTTGTGTATTTCAAGGTCTTTCAGAGATTTATTTTTTTTATTATGTGATACGAATTTCATTGTTTTCAGTATTATTTTAAAATTCCTTAACATGTGATCACATGTCCTTGTTTTATTGCAGTCATACAGTAATCCATTCATAGATCCTATTAGGAATTATGTTCTCAACTTTTTCTGGATAAGGAATCCAAGAAAACTATTACTCAAGCTTAATAATATGGCCAATTAGTGGCAATGTAAGGATTATAAATCATTTTCTCTAACTTTCAGACCTAATATGCTTTTCAATAAAATTAATTTATAAATTAAAATTAATTTGGTAGTGAAAATATGAGTGAAAACACCAATTCTTTTCATTGTTGGAAGGTCAGTTATTTGATAAGGACCCTGTTATAGATTCATTAAAGGAATGTGATGCAAAGTGTTAGTGATGACATCACCTAGAGTCACACTGAGACAGGCACATGCACAAGCCCCTCAGTTGAGCAGAAGTGTCATGATTGAGTCAAGTTGTTTGCTTTTTAACTCCTCAGCTTGAGTTGTTTACTCTCTAAAACAATGGTAAAATAGTTCATAGGCTTGTAATAAAAGTTTTGTATCATTGAATCTAGTATATACAACAGATACCCAGCCTATAGTAAAGATGCTTAGTAGATATTAATAGTAGCAATCGAGATGGAAAAGAAAGAAATTATACTGATTGGTTAATGAAAGATGTTCACTTTTTGTTCTCAGGGTCATATGGAAACCTTATTAATAAAATTGTATTTATATCACTGCAGATGTTTACTAATAACCAGTCTTTGCATACTATTTATAATTTTCTATAAGGCTTTTAAAGTTTTAAAACCTGGGATCATATAATTCATTTTCAAATTCTGTCTGTATTTTAATTACTATTGGCAATAGTGGCATAAATAAACTCTAGATAATTGCAAAGTCCAGATTCTTTTTTTAAAATGTATGAACATAATTGTGTACATTTTAGATCATTGAAAACATTTTATATAACTGATTATGGCAGAGATATTTGACCTTACACATTGCTGGCATAAGGCCTCTAGATTAGAAATACAACAAATCAGTCTTTAGATATATAGATATACAAATAGGTTTTCAGTCAGAGACTTACTACATAAAAATAAGCTGGTTTTTTGAAATCTAAGCTTAATCAGTTTTACATTTTGAATTTCCTATAAATATTTTCAAATATTTCCTATAGACTTAAGATACATCAAAATGTTTAAATAAGTAATCTTATGTATTAACTGAGTTTAAAAAATACAGAATTGCGCAAAAAATAGGAAGCTTAAATATAGTTTTCACAGATTGAATTTGTTTTAATACTAAAATAAGAAATGTAGTAATGGCTTATCCATTTAGTAATAGGTATCCAAATGTAGCAATGACTTATCTAAAATTTCACAAATTGGGCAATGCCATTTCCAGGCAAGGAGCTACGCTCTTGAACAGTCTTGAGATGGGTGCTAAATAATTTCTACTGCAGTTTTAGTGTGCTTTTTGTCAGTTTACTTAAAGGGGTAGACTTTGGAATGAAGCTGGAGTGGATAGGTAAGAACTGCTGATTTTATTATTTTCTCAAACAAGTGTAGTAGACCAAATAACTTAGGAACTTACGGTTTATGATAAGCTAAATTTCTATAGATGAGAAAGGACTTTTGAAAATCACAGGTGTATCAATAGGATTGAATGTTCTCAAAAAAGAAAAATATCAGTAGGCCAACGTAAAAGGGGGAATGTGTATGAGTTTTATCATCTAGTCACCTTTTCAATTAATTGTTTAATTTTAGTAAAATTTCATGTTTATTTTTTTTCCCCTTTATTGTATTTTATTTTTTTTTAAAGTTGTAGATTTACAATTTTTTGTGCTTTGGTTTCAATTATACAATGATCAGATACCCATCCCTCCACCAGTGCCCATCTTCCACCACCATGGATAATATCCCTCCCACCCCCATCCCCCCATCCCCCCTGTCTCTGTGGCAGGGCAATCCCCTGTGTTCTCTCTCTCCTTTTGGGTGTTGTGGTCTGCAAAAGAGGCATTGAGTGGCAAACATGTTCAGTCCATAGTCTACTTTCGACATGCATCTCCCCTCCTGGGAGGATCCTCCAAACATCCTTTATTTGGTGCTCCCTTCTCTATCTGAACTGCCCTTTCCTCTAGGATACCCGGCTGGCCTCCAAGCCATGGAGTAAAATTCCTGGTACTAATCTCAGCCATTCTTGGGTGTCAGTCTCCTATTTTGTTCCTTTATGTTCCCCAGATGAATGCAATCTTTCTATGTCTATCCCTCTCTTTCTGACTCATTTCGCTTAGCATGATACTTTCCATATTGTACCACTTGTATGTAAATTTCATGAAATTTCATGTTTAGACATCAGGTCTTCAGTGAATAATGCTTATATAAAAAAATCTGAAATTCAAACTATAATTCCATTTTCATTTCTTTTCTCAGATGATGAAACATGCTTGGTATAACTATAAACATTATGCCTGGGGATTAAATGAACTGAAACCTTTATCAAAAGGAGGCCATTCAAGCAGTTTGTTTGGTAAGTAGAATGTTCTTTGGTTTCTTAGTGACCATGATATCTCTGCAGTTGACTGAACTGGTGGGCAATAAAGTTTGTGTGATCCTCCAGGCCATGTTACTAGGAAATGTTCACACCCAATGGAGTTATCTGCAAGTACTGTGCATAGAGTGTCCTTCAGACAGAGCATGGACTTCACATTCAGATTATCTCTATGTTATTCAAAAATACTGATACCTGGGGTATTTACTCTCAGCAATTCTTATTTAGAGGATACAACTACAACATCATAAAATATAATTTTCAGGATTATTTCTCAACAGAACATTTGATCCACTGCATTAACTTCTATCAGTAAGAACTGAATCTTTATAGATAGAATGATCAGGGCAGTGAGCCATGGTGATACTCATTGTATTTGTATTTCTCATTATTTCCTTATAGTATTAGCTCTGGGTTTCTTTTGCTGATGTGAAAAAGAAAGGATGGATGAGGTCAGTTATTTTAACTTGTGTTTACCCACTTTGGCATGCTTTAGTCCATTGGATGTTAACAGCATCTCGTTGTAATTGGTACTATAGGTATTGACTATAGGTATTCCCATTGTAGTGGTGAGGAAGCTAAGTAACAGAATCATAATATAAAGTCTCTGGGTCCCTACCCAGAATTCCACTTAGTGCCCTTCTACTGTATGTACTAATTTAACACCTTCAAAATTATCTAAAATAATAGGAGGAGTTTCAAGGAAATAAAACACCTGGATTTTTATGATGGGAGTGGTAGGTTAGGAACAGGAAGGATTTCAAAAAGGCTATGGGATTATATCTTACTGGAGTTTATGACTATCAGTAAGCAATTTCAGACTTAATTATATTTAAGCAGTTTTGTACACAAATACTTTAATACAATTAATAGTAATATGTTCTTGTTACTTTGTTTTAATGCTACTTTTCTTACTAGAAAATGGAATTACAAATGAAGTTTCTAAGATTTCTATAATTCAGAAGAAATTTTCAAGGTTAATGTGTCAACCTATAGTCATAGTCTGTGTGTTCATTACAGGTTTACTAATATAGTATTGCTTTGTCTTTCCATGGTAAGGCTAACTTGTATATGTACATCAAAATATTTTGTTGATTAAATATATTGTCTGATATTGTCAGGTAATATCAAAGGAGCGACAATAGTTGATGCACTGGATACACTTTTTATCATGGAAATGAAAGATGAATTTGAAGAAGCAAAAGCATGGGTTGAAGAATATCTCAATTTTAATGTGGTATGTTTAATAAAAGTTACTAATTTAGTTCTTAAATTCTCAGTTAAAGTTTATAGAATTGCTGTGGGCAGATTATTCTGTTATACCCTAAAAGGAACAATGCAACTTTAATAGTATTGTACTATAATCTTAACTTGCCATCGCTTATTAACACAAATACTCATCTTTATTTTTTGGCAAATTAAAAGAAAGAAAAATAATTGCTATTGCATCCTATATGTATCAAGGTGTTTAAGCTCCACAGAAACCCTTTGAGATGGTATCATTTTCACACTATTATTGACTTGCCCAGACCACATAGCTAGTTGTATATTAGAGCTGTGAGTCTAACCAATCCATATGGCTCCAATGCTCATACTTTTGCATGTGTTAATGTGTGTTGTTATAACTTTGTAAAATCAGTGTTTGTTTAGGGAACACAAGGTGCCATATTGTCAGATGCCGTTAAACAAAAGACCCCCACAGAAATTGCACTGGATAAGTTTATTACGTATAAGTCCTGAGGAAGTGATTGTGTGCCTCAGAGACAACCCGGAGAAGTTAAGGCAGAGTGCAGAGATTTGACCTGGGTCACATGCCTTCCATAAGGTGGGAAGAAAGATTTGGGGTTTCTGAGCTAATAATACCAGATCAACTAATTAAATCTGAAGAATGGGATTCAGGTAAGTTCGTGAATATCCTATCTAATGAAACCACAAGGATAAGGCCCAGGAAAGTTCTATGAATATCTTATCTAATGAAACCACAAGGATAAGACTCAGGGAGATCAGGAAGGGTATTGATAACACAGGTGTTTTAAGAACACAGTGGGAACTTCTTTGCAAACTGTATTAAAAAAGAATTTTGTGAGGGAGCTTGGGACAGGAATTCCATGAGACTCTGTGCTCAAGGATCACTCCTGACAGTGCTGAGGGACCATATGTGGTCCTGGGGATCAAACCCAGGCTAGCCACATGTTAAGCAGGTGCCCTATCTGCTGTCTTCTTACTCTGACTCCCGTATACAATTTCATAAAAATATATTTTAAATTTGAAAAATGTATATGTACTGGAATTGTTAATGCGTAGGAAAGGGGACCAGAATTATGGATAGTGGATGCTGCTGATTCTTGTTGATAAATTAGAAGTACACCTGATCATGTTTAATCTAATTCCAGAGTCCTTGTTTTACTTCATAATGAGGTTGACAAAAAGCTTGTTCTCAGAAAAGAAAGAATATCAGTCCTGCTGTTCTGTAGTCATTTATTTAAATTTGTATTATTGATATTAGAATTTGATAATATCTGTGAATTTCCATAACTGAGCACAAATAACCTGCTATATGTTTAGAATCGACAAAGAATATACATTTTCCCTTTTGCTTTATGGAGCTCTTGTTCTCCCCAGATCTTGTGAGAATACAAGTGATCAATAGCAACTGAGCTTGCTTTTCTCTCTCTGGGTTAAAAAAAATGAAAGTTTAATATTTTATTTCCACTTCACTAGTTAATTGCTACATGTCCCCGACTTTGGAAATAATCTTATAGAAGAAGCAAATGAATCTGTTTTATCTGCCTTACTACTGAAATTAACAATATAAAAGAGACATATACCAGTATCAAGGGATCTTGGAGATCAGTGTGTTTAGCCCTTTCATTTGCAAGAACTTAGGTCCAAGGAACTTGTGATTTACTGAAAGTTCTGCAGCTCTTGATTGGAATAATTTGTAATAGACCTGATATTTCCATAGTAGAACTGACTATGAAAAATTAAGGAAATGGAAAAACATGTTTCCTTTAGTGGGTTGGCTCATTCTTCTCTCAGTATAAGCAAATTCAGCCATGTACTTTTAAATAATTCTGAGTTTGTACTCCGCTACAGATGAGACATAGTATGGTTATGTGCTTTCTCCCATAGTCCCCCAGCCCCCTTCTTTCTCCTCAAGAAAAGACAGAGGAATGATAATTAGAGTCAACCAAAATCTAACAATGGAAAATAGGAAAATAGATATTCAATGACATGACCTAAACAGTGGAGCCAAAGAGCTAGTAGAGGGTTTAAAGCACTTGTCTTGCACGTGGACATCCCATTTAATCCCCAACGCCTCATATAGGTCCCCCAGCACCTTTAGGAGTAATCCCTGAGCAAATAGTCAGGATTATGCCCTGACCAAGGCAGAGTGTGGCCCAAAAACAAAAACAAAATGACAGCAACAACAACAAAAAAAATTCTAGACCTGCACAGTGTCCAGTTGCCTTGCTTGATTATTATAGCTCTGTTGCCCCTAATTTCCCCAAATAGAACAGCAGTTCTTTGCTTTAATGACCCATGGTAATGTGAAATGTCTGGAATCATTTATTTAAAATGAGTAAGTGCATAGTTCTTAAAAAATAATGGGCAAGGAAACAGAAGGCACTTGGCTTTCAAACTATGACCAGGATATATTTAATATATTCTGTGAACTGTGAGGAAGTAGACGGGATCAATTATAAGATAACAGATTACATAGAAAAAGAGTACAATTCCTGGTTTCTTCCTTATTAGATAAAAGGAACGAATTATTGCTGAGTGATAGGTATTGAACTTTAAAGTTTTCTGTAGTTAAAATTGTAATTTTGGTTTTAAATAAGACTTGATTCAATTAGGTGATAGACTTTTCCTTCAATATTCTAAAATATTTTAGAACTGTTACTGATAATATTGGACTTTTCCTTTTAAAATATACTTCAAAATACATTTAAGAGGATTGACAATACAGCAGGTAAGGTACTTGCCTTGCACAGGCCGACCCTGTCTTTATACCCAGCTCCACATATGGTCCCCAGAGCCCTATCAGGAGTGATCCCTGACTACAACCAAGTGTGACTCAAAAACGGACCAACAATAAATAAAAATTAAAACAGATATTTAAATAAATTATAGCCACAGTCCTCAAATTTCTAGTTGTTACACTATTCTGGATGTGAAAAGTCTTGAAACGTATTTGTTGCAGTTCTCTCTTAGGGAAACACCATATTTTCCATTATAAAATGAAATGTGTCATTGACATATATAGGGTACTATTTCCCACATTAAAATTGAACTTTTAATTGATGGGGGCTAGTTTTTTTTTCCGCTCTCATTTCATTATAAAGATCTTTAACAACTTACAGTTTTTGAGTTGATTTTGTTATGTCATATGTGAGAATTTCTCTACTGGGAGGGATTCAAGTAATTATGTAAACTATATAAAGTTATATTGAGCCCATAATATAATTTTGTATAATTTATATAATTACTTGAATTATATTAATAATGCATCTTTGTTTCTGAATAAACTAAGTTTTTATTCAAAAAATAAACTCCCACTCTGTTTATATCTGAAGGAAGGATAAATTGGAAAAGTTCAAGCAAAAATAGGGAAAAAAACTTATTTTATGGACAACATGTAGTATCATTTCAGCTGTGATAACTTATTGTTTATTTTCAACTAACACTTTTCTTGAAAAAGTATTTTAATTGACAGTGTAAGATTGCAAATAAAATGTGAGTCCAAATTTATTTTAAGGAAAAAATAAGAAAGGAACCAAAATAGAAACCCAGTTTTGTTTAGAGTTGGTTTCTCCTATATATAAATGCTTGTGATTATAAAATCCTAAGAGTTAAGCATAAAGTTGCTTATATGTGAAAATTCAGTTTGCATTACTTAAAAGGTGTTTAGTAAATGTATTCATTAGTTTATATAATTGAAATTCATTAAATAATAAAATAATAAAATATAGAAAATTGACTTAGTTTGAATTGTTGGTAACACAAAGTTCAAATGACTTTAACAACTGACAAAAATAAACCACTAGTATAATGCTTAGGAGCACAGGCTTCAGAGTTGGAGGATTGTTTGTACGTAGTTTAAGAATTGAGTTGGACTGGATGAATAATATAGTGACTAAGGTACTTGCATTGCATAAGACCAATAAAAATTAGATACTCAGCAACTCATATGGCCTCCCAAGCTTGCAAGGAGTAATCCCTAAGTGCAGAGCCAGGAATAAGCACCTGGCTTATTTGTTTATCTGAGCACCACCAGACAAACAAATTAAAATTAAACAAACAAAAAGTTAGAGTCATATACATCTGAGCTCAGAATTCCCAGGGTTGACACCAGTTTATGCATTTTCTTATTTTTATTCGAAGGTTTATTTTTGTCATTCTACAAAGAATCTAAAAAGAATCACTTGTTATCCATTGTTCATTCATTGCTGTATAAATTATCTACTAAATGCCTTTTAAGAGTTGGGTACTTATCCTCAGAGAGTTTATAATCTAGTAGGAAAAATAGCCAGGTTTTCTCAGGAGGAAGAAAAAAGGAAATTGCCATTAAAAAACAAACAAAACAAACACTGTCCTCCCATTGTTCATCAATTTGCTTGAGCGGGCCCAGTAATGTCTCCATTTTGAGACTTATTACTGTGTTTGGCATATTGACTATGTCACAGGTAGCTTGCCAGGCTTTGGTGTGTGGGCGAGATACTCTTGGTAGCTTGCCGGGCTCTTCAAAAGGGGCGGACGAACCCGGCTCGGCCAGGCTGGCTGCACTCAAGGCAAACACCCTACCACTGTGCTATTACTCCAGCCCATTACCATTAAAGAGTACTGATAAATATCAAATATTATGTTTCCTGCCCCCGCACTTGGCTGTCTTCACCAGGGCCCCTTAGAGGGGGGAGGGTTGAGTGTCTCTTCCCCCTCTACCCCAAGCAGAGCCCCAGCAGCTGAGGACCTCCGGAACCAGCCACGGCCATGCTGGGATCACTCTCCACATGTCTGGACGGGCCTCATGCGTGAAAGAACTGGCAGAGGAACCCAGACATGCAGGTCCCGGGGCTAAGGTCTCCAAGCCTACTCAGATTGAGACTGGGCCTTCTCCAACCAGAGCCCGATCTTCCAGTAGGTAGGCATCATACCCACCAGCTGCTGCCAGCGCCAGGTTGGTCTCATCAATGGCCAAAACGCAGAGACTATAAAATCTAGCTCCTGGAAGCA